TCGAGTTGCAACCAGAGTCATGGAACGGATTAAGTTCGTAACTAGAGGTACCACTGTACAATAGGTAGGAATCTAAAAGTCTTGTCGTAGTAATAATATTTCTTACAGGAAAAGCATATCACAAGATAAGAAACACAGTTATAAACACACATATAGAGGCAATACTGCATTTATACTTCAGCCTGAGAATATTAAAGCTGCAATTTAGTACCTCTAATCTATGAGTCAAAGTTTTCATAATTCAATTACGTGGAGAAGAATTCTAACAGGTTACCTAGTGGTCCTATTGGTTTATATGTAAACTGCCCCTGTGCATCAGCCATCTCAATTGCTTCACAAAGGTCTGGCATATATTGTCCAAATCTTTTCATTCTATTGGTTTTACTCTCCTTTAATTGTCTTAGCTGTTGCTGTTGAGAATTCAGTATTTTTTTCACTTCATCATCTTCCTTTCTAAAAAAAACAACAACACTTATTTCTCTCTGAGAAAACATTTCGTATACAACTTAATTTTTTTCTTAGCAAAACTTTTAATTCAGGATTCCAAAGCTATGGTACATGTATAATTTACGTACTTTAGGGCATACTAAAAACTGGGTACCCATGAACACATGCTTGGCCTAAGAATTTGTTTTTAGAAGCAGAATGAAGCTTATTCTTTCAGCCACATATCTACTCTTGTTTTCTATTCAAATATAATTCATTCATTTAGTAATGATCTGCAGTTAGAAGTTTTCACTGATCTACTGAAAATTATTCAAAGATTTACACATACATTTGCTCTACCCTCATACCCACAGGAGGAAAATTGTTTTGAATTCTAAAAACCTATCTTTGTAGGTTTTCTCCCTCTCTCCCTCTCTCTCTCTCTCTCACTCTCTCTCTCTCTCTCCAGAAAAATAGTACAGAATCAAAATGATTTATGCCATTTCCCAGAACTAACCTATACCAAGATTATATATGCATACTTTCCTCTCATGCCATCACTGACTATTTTTTGCAGGTGCTAACTTTGTACCCACAGGGGAGGTATGCAGGCATATGAAGAAGAAAACATGGCATTGTGATTAATGTATATCTTTCTTTACCAGATTTATATATCCCATCGTTTATTCGGGATTTCAAAGTGGCTTACATATTGTTCCTTCTTATTTTTCCCCACAACAATATTCCCTGTGAGATAGGTTGGTCTGAAAGATAGTGACTGACCTAAGTTTCCCGTGGCTAAGAGTAGGCTAGAATCTGGGTCTCCCTCCTCCTGATCCAACACTTTAACCACCAAATCTAATAAACAGTCAAGCCATAGTTATACCTAATAAGCTTACTTAAGTCTAGCAAAATCTTCATCATATGAATGTAGAGCCCGTTGAAACTGTGTTATCTGCTGACCAACTGATTCATCTTGATCGTGTAATGTCTTCAGCTTTTCTTTCAAATAATCTATTCTTCTCTGTTTTTCAACCTTTTCAGGCTCTGAAATCTGTTCAGCACTACAACATTGCACAACTTACAGATTATTTTGTCCAAGCACTGATTTGGTAAAATACTTTGAATTATGAAAAAATAGTAATAAATATTGACATTTTATTTACATCTGGAGTTATATAGTATAGCATATTGTTATTTGGCATAACTTTTATGATAAAATCAACATTAATTGGACCGTCTCCAACATTCCCATTTTAAAACAGGGTAATTTAACAAAAATATAGTTTTAAAACTGAGTATGCACAACACAATGGCTAAAATGAGAGTCTTGTGGTACTTTTTGCTGTATAGGTTTTTGAGGGTCATAGTTTATTTCTTTAAATGCATGGAATTGTATACATATAGTTGCAAGAAAAAGTATGTGAACCTCTTGGAATTTCATGGTGTTCTGCATTAATTTGTCATAAAATGTGATCTGATCA